GTTGTCTTCACTTGTATTTGTTACTGTGTATATGATAGGGGGCCTAGATCATCTGTGAAGTCCAAATCATCTAGTTCCATGCATACTGCCCATTGTATACCATGCTTCTGTTCAGACGTGGTCTTCGTAGCCCAGTCTTCATAAATCAGAAACAAGAGAAAGGGAGAGAGTAGGCAACCTTGTCTAATACCGGTCCTCACTTGGAATGTAGCTGTCCTATATGCACGACTCTGCAACGTAGTCTGTTGTGTGAATCCCAGAGGATGTTAAGGGTCTAAGCCACTCACCCTATAGTTTCGAAGAAGGTTCGCCCATCCACGCTGTTAAATGCTTTCTCATAGTGAAGGAAGTTGGTGTAAAGTGACGAATTCAATTTAGTTGGTTGTTCAACAATGATCAGTAGTGTCGCGATTTGGTCTGTGCACCACTGATCCTGACGGAATCCGGCCTGTTGATCTCGAAGTTGGGCGTCTACCGCGTCTTTCATCCGATTCAGCAACACTGTTGAAAACGTGTTCTGGTACTGACAGTAGTGTGATGCCTCTGTAGTTCTCACATTTGCTCAGATCTCCTTTCTTTGGTATCTTTCTTTCCAGTCCATCGGCACTTGTTCTTCCTCCCAAATCTGCCTGAATAGAACGTGGAGCATGTTTGCAGTTACTTCAATGTCTGACTTCAGTGCTTCAGATAGTATATTGTCAGGTCCTGCTGGTTTCCCACTCTTGCTTTGTCTGATGGCCATACTGATTTCTTCCGTCACAACTAGATGGCGATCCGCAGCTATATCAAGTTCTCTCCTGATTCTCATGTCTCCCATTGACTTTTTTAGTGATACAAATATAGTCAATCTGGTTCTCCTTGGCGATCCAGTGAGACCCATGTAGCTTTATAAATGCGTTTGTTAAAGGCACTAATTCGCGAATTTTGCATCTTTTTTATCCATTTTCTCTAATTCATGTCGTGCCGTGATATTTTCATACGTGATGTTGTCTAGATCTTCCATCCCAATGGTCATTAATTTTTTGGACACTTTTTACGATTGACTTCAGTCTGTTATAAAATTGTTCTTTATCGTCTGCACTGCTATCATTATTGAGTGCCTCTGCACTAGATAACATTTACTGTAATCCTCTCCTTTGTTTTGAGGACTGCTTGGATGATTGTGGATCCGTGAAATTCCCATCCTATGGAAGCTTGTTGTGCTTCTTCGAACAGCATCAATGTAACTTCTTTTGTTTGCGAAGCATTTTCTCATTCATGACCAACGTACAGCAGCGGCTCTCCCCAATCGAGTCTTTTATTTCCGGCTTGGATTCAGTGTTTTTCGATAACATACATTGTGATCCCCTCCATCTTTGTTTTGAAGGAATGTATGATGATTCTTGATCCGTGATATTCCCATCCTGCAAGTGCAAGATATTGCTTTTACATAGATATATGTTACGGTTAAACTTGCTTCTTGCTTAACACAAAATTCGATGCAAAGTGAAAGTTTTACTTCTTGGTATAACACAAATGCTACTAGTAATAACTTCCTTATTGACACTGAAGTTTAATTGAACTTGATAATGTTGATTTTATCAAATTTATCAACTGACAAATAAACTTGATGGCTGAAAGCCAGAATACTGTATGTTAAGAATTACTGCATCTAAACACGAAAAATCAGCTGGCTCTCCAAAAGTTTTGCTTTAATTTTCTGTACAGCCAAACTGATTTCAGATGCTAAAGTAATTAGTTTCACATATAGTGTATTACTACATGCTTCTTTAGAAGGTCCGTATGAAAGATACCAACAGATAAAAGATCTTATTTATATCACAGAGACTAAGTATTATTTTTCAGCTATTGAGTGATATGTAAGAAAACTGATCACCTATGCCTTTCAGCAAAAAAGAATTTTCCATAACATTTACAATGTTGTTATTCTATAAAAGCTAGTATTTTGGATGCAGATTAATGGCCAGTACGTGAAGGCTTTAATATGCTTGGTGGTCTGCAATAATAATGCACTATCAATATTGATACAGATGCTATTGATTCAACAGAACAAACTTACAGACCAAACAAGCATAAACTCCCAACAAAACAAGATTGTAGAAACGTACTAAGACCGTTTGTTGTCCAAAACCAGGTTGACTTAAAAGTCGATGACAGGGAGGTTGGGTTAAAAAATCTTGGGAGCCACAGCAATCTTTATAAGCGGATCAACGAGAGTACTACAAAAACCTAGTCTAAAAGATTTTAATCGGTGATAGTATGTCGATCATGCATACTTGAATTCTATGCCCGTAATCGGTTTACGTGGACAACGGGATTTGTTAACTAAACAAGTTGGTTGTTTAAAAACCATAACTTCACTCAAATTATCAATAACATAACCAAAGCGACGACCAGCAGCACCGGGAAGAAATTAAATAACCTCAGATTCCCAGTAAATTTTGTCAATCGTATGTCTGAAAACGAATAACTTTATGTTTAGAGTTCCAACAACTAACCAGTAGTAAGCTCATTTTGAAGATAATTCTAAGGACAGAAACCGCCACAGTCAATAGAAGTCAAGTAGATAACTTTCAGCTTAAAATACAACTACAAGGTTCATAGATCTAAAAAAAAATTTATTCCCCTTACAGACAGAGTTCTGATATTTTTACACGATTTCTTAAGACATTAAGTCGTGTGAAGGAAGAACGGCAAATCGAGATAAAACCAGTTCACATTTTCCATATGCTATAATATTATGAGGAAATAGTTTTGTTGTATGCATAATGCATTTCCATAGAATAACACTAGCAAGTATATTTAGACGTGTTTTACACAACCTCGTAGGTTGCGTTCATGAAAATGAGTATGGATTTGCAAGATACGTACTTACGTCAACAAAGTAAATCTCTTTTGAGCGTCTCTTTTCGGGTTGACTTCTAGAGGCTATAAATCCAAACATCCAGAAAGCACCTCTAAATAAGTGAGTTCATATAAGACAAGCACTAATTAATTTTACTTCTAATATATTTTGGGTTTTATAACCCAGCTTTGGCTCAAATAAGTGTTTACAGCAAGTACCTCTCAACGAGTCACCTGGTCCTCCTTAAAGTCTTAGACCTCAAACTTCAGGTTTAAGAATCCTTAAAGTACCATGTATAATCAGTGAAGCGTACACAAATAAGCATTCATGGTTGGGCGATGAGATTATAAACTCCGCCTGTTGATCTCTAGAGCGATAAAGGAGGTTTAGGAACATCATCTAGTAGAAAACAGCCTGACCAGAGAACACCAGCCGGACATCAAAGCAACAAAAACAGACCTTATAGATATCACTCCACCAAAGACGGAAGAAATCAGTATGGCCATCAGACAAAGCAAGAGTGGGAAACCAGCAGGACCTGACAATATACTATCTGAAGCACTGAAGTCAGACATTGAAGTAACTGCAAACATGCTACACGTTCTATTCAGGCAGATTTGGGAGGAAGAACAAGTGCCGATGGACTGGAAAGAAAGATACCAAAGAAAGGAGATCTGAGCAAATGTGAGAACTACAGAGGCATCACACTACTGTCAGTACCAGAACACGTTTTCAACAGTGTTGCTGAATCGGATGAAAGACGCGGTAGACGCCCAACTTCGAGATCAACAGGCCGGATTCCGTCAGGATCAGTGGTGCACAGACCAAATCGCGACACTACTGATCATTGTTGAACAACCAACTAAATTGAATTCGTCACTTTACACCAACTTCCTTCACTATGAGAAAGCATTTAACAGCGTGGATGGGCGAACCTTCTTCGAAACTATAGGGTGAGTGGCTTAGACCCTTAACATCCTCTGGGATTCATACAACAGACTACGTTGCAGAGTCGTGCATATAGGACAGCTACATTCCAAGTGAGGACCGGTATTAGACAAGGTTGCCTACTCTCTCCCTTTCTCTTGTTTCTGATTTATGAAGACTGGGCTACGAAGACCACGTCTGAACAGAAGCATGGTATACAATGGGCAGTATGCATGGAACTAGATGATTTGGACTTCACAGATGATCTAGGCCCCCTATCATATACACAGTAACAAATACAAGTGAAGACAACTAGCGTAGCAACAGCCTCTGCATCAGTAGGCCTCAATACACACAGTGGAAAAAATCGAGATCCTCAAATACAACACGGAGAACACCAACCCAGTCACACTTGATGGAAAAGCTCTGGAAGATGTGGAATCTTCCACGTACCTGAGAAGCATCATCAATGAATAAGGAGGATCGGATGCAGACGTAAAGGCGAGGATTGGCAAAACAAAGACGGAATTCCTACAGTTGAAGAGCATATGGAACTTAAAACAACTGTCAGCCAACATCACAGTCAGAATCTTCAATACAAAGTTCTATTGTACGGAGCTGAAACATGTAGAACCACTACAACCATCATCAAGAAGGCTCAAGTACTACGCAAGATTCTCAACATCCATTGGCCGGATACCATCAGGAACAGCCTTCTCTCGGAGTCGACAAACCATCTTCCATCTCAAGAGGAAATTAGAAAAATACGTTGGGAGTGGATAGGACATACATTACGGAAATCACAAAACTGCATCACGAGGGAAGCCAAAGGACACATTACGTCACGAAATAGAATCAGATATGAAAAGGATGAATAACAACTGGAAAGGATTGTCCAGGACAGGGTTGGATGGGCGGCCTGTGCTCCTCCACGAGGAGTAGCATGCGTAAATAAAAATAATAATAAGCACGACTATTTTAAAATTTCAGGGCATACTTGACAGAAGACCTCATCGCCCAATGATAGCCACTTCAAACCAGGTACTTGATGTAACTTAATGGTCAAGGTTAGTGCCAAACAGACGTCTTGTGAAGAGAAACCAAGACCGAGACAATAGTCAAGGGTGATGAGCCTTATACGGCAAATTAGGAAAAATTTCTTTTAGCCGAGCAGTTCATGATTAATATCAAGCATCTAACCCTAAGGAGTTATTCGTAAACTGCTCCCGTTATATTGTTAGTTCTTAATATGAAACGATATCAACTATTATAAGTTCTAAACTACTAATCAGTTACAATGATGTTGAGCAGAGATGGATTGTGACTGACAATGGAATCCAAATGCATGTTTAGTCCTAGCTAAGTGGATATTGCGATGGGCTTTGAAATGTTAGGAACTGGGTTCGAGTCTCAGAGTGAACTGTAGGATCCAATTTCATCCAACCGATGAGTCATAGATAAGAGGAAACGAGCGTCCAGAGTTCTACTGCTAGCCACTACACATCTATTTTTTAAAATAACTTGTATATTATGTACGTGCAGGAAAATATTTATACAGGGAGTATAATGCTCTTTTTGATTTTTCAGCAACTAATGCGTGTGAGCCAACAGTTTTCGTCTCGATTTTCTAATCCGCTTTATGAAGTATGTACACGTGACAGGTTCCTTGTTGTTACTTCGCAAGAAACAGAAAAAACAAACTGAAATTGAGCTTTAGATACCATTTGAAAGGCAATAAAGTTAATTACACAGCTTCTAATGCACAGCAAAATAAGGCATATTTATTAGTGAAAAACACATGGTTTGTGTAAACATTTTCAGAAGTAGAATAAACGCAGAGAAAATCAGTTTTCGGAAAAATATTTTAAAAGGTAAAGTTAGTTTTAAATATTTAAGAACTTTAAAATGACTAACACTATTGTAAAATGTTGTTTATAGGTTTAGAATGCCAATGCGTATCTCCATTCAGGCATTTCCATACAAATATTATAAGAGTAGATAGTTGACTAGGGACAATTAAAACGGTAGTATATGTAAGAGCACAAATTATTGCCAGTGTGATGCAATCTATCAGGAATAGTTAAGGGGAAAAGCAAAAATGAATAAAAATATGAATGTCACTGACTCGTTCGAAAAGGTCAGGGCTGTAAGAATGGAATTTATCAGAATGATGCATATAAATCCATTGGTGCTAATTAGGAATTTTTAGAACATGATATTCATTAGGCCCCCTTATATTTGTCTGATATCTGTTTTCAGCTGTTACTTTATAACGCTAATTGAGACTTGTTTGAGAGATTCTAAACTTTTTCATCTGTACTTTGAAGTCTTCCTGCATTTTTTCACTATTTTAGTCAAGATTTTTTGAGTCAAGCTGTCCATGTGTATTCATACGAAATAAAAATCTAATTGTTTACAGCTTCCCGTGATTTACTGCTGTTGCTAGTAACTCATACTCAGCCTTAGAATCAACCACATAGAGATTTCATAAGACGTAGTTAATAGAATACACTTCCAAAATAAAAAGGGAAACTAAAATCGCAACTCATCAACCTTTTGTCTTGAAAATAACTGAAGGTACTTGTATGTTTTAAAGTTCACTTTAAAAACAAAAACACCATGACGTCCACTTGAAGGTCTAAGAAGAATACATTTTCTTTCTTTAATAAATGAAACTATAACAAACGCGTACCACATAGAAGAATCTCCGTGAAAGAAATGAAGTTTCTACTAATGGGCTTTCAAGAGAACTTACATAACTTATGCATTTGAAAATTTCTCATGTAGTGAAATGCTTATCATAGCAATGAAAAAGGATACGTAGTATGACCTTTTCCCATGGTTCACACATATAAATAGCCAAGCATAAACAATATTTGTTGAACAGACTGTGAAGAGTTCGGCAAGGTGATGCGATCATTTTGTTATGGGCTGCTACGTATTTTTATAAAACTTACTATCTATCAAAATGATCTATACTTCACTTAGGTTCTAAAAATAGGAATAACACAACATTGGAGACATTTATACACATTGTTTTTTGTTTTTGAAAATTCGAGTTAGTCATAATATAATCACACAAATCAGGTAACTTTATCGAAAAAGTGTCGGTTGCTGAGTTTTGACTAATATAGAGTTGTCTACAGTTAACATAGATTAGTAGGATCTCACATTTTTAGAAAAACCTGGTGCTACGAATGGGAAAACAAACACTGTTTAGTTCTATTCAGGGACTGCGGAGCTGGAATGAATTTAACCAAACTTAACTAGGCATTTCCATTTTACTTGATAAACTTTGATTATTTATGGTACGGAGATGACTGTTACTTTGATGAAACTCTAAAGTACGTGTATAAATAAGCGAACAGTTCTGAGTTCCATCCTCGTATTGTGCTTTGAACTTTGTATTCGTTCAAATAAATGGCCTAAATTTATAAACCACTAAACATTTGTTGGAAGTATATTGTTAGTTATAACTATTTTACAAATTAGGATTACTCAGGGTGACAAAGCCCACCAATCTTAATATTTTCCAATGACTAAATCCGGAAAGGACATATGTTAATATAACGCAGTATAGTGTGAATGTACTTAGATGACAAAGTGAAAGTTTCTTCTAGTTAGTGAATAAATAATAGTGGTTCCTGACACAATTTAAAGACCTATACTACTCTTATTTCCTCTGAGCTACGTGGTTAAATTGCGAAGTTATCGTTCTTAAAACATGACCGAAAAACGTAGGGTGGGATCTAATTATTCTTAGTGGTCAGCGACCGGAAGCATTTACCAAAACATGCGGTAGCAGATTTATTAGTGAACACCTTCACGGTGAGGCTTAATCTTCAAGGAGGAACATTTCAAAATTTACTGCACTGTAAACTGAATTAGGATATCACTTTAGGAGCGATGAATCATTAGTATCAATAGGTAGAAACTCAGATATACAAAAACAGATCAGAAAGAGGTTTCCACTTAAATTAGTGGAAAATGCAAGAGTCCTCAATTGAATACCTAGTTTCTGTTTCACAAAACCGGGTGACACAGACTGAACTAAATTAAAACACTGAATTCCAAGGACTGACTATTTTTAAGGATTAGATATCGAACCAACAAATCAACAGAAAATGCTAGATCGTGACTCTGTGGATATTTCGTTTAACGTTGGTATTAGAAACATACTCTTAAAAATATTTTAGCACTCCCATGAGTTGATTTATTCAACTTTTCATGGACACTCCTGTGTAGATAACGCTTCCATAGCATAACTGTTAAGGGCTGATCGACTAACAGGAAGTTCATTTATTCACTAGGGATAAGCAGATAACATAGTCCTATTAGGTGAAGACTGAATGAGTGCAGTCTTCTGACCATCTAAAACAACTTTATGATGTTTAATGCCTTTTAACCGTAAAATGTAGTTTCAGGACTGGCCCTGAACTAAAGAGGTTAGTCGCTTCGTTTATTTCATCAGCTTTCATGGGTTGGTGTTTGACGCGATTTCGGTTGGCTTTTATTAACTTGAACTACTTATGGAGTAACTGGGTTGTTTATTTCTCAACTAAAAGACGATTACACCACACGGCAATCGGTTTTATTTCATTTATGGCTGGGTAACGGGGCCTTTAAAAATCAGAGAAAATACATAGGTTACTAGTATTTGATTATAGAAGCGGTGCTCGCATATTTTGGTCTTGTTCTCTGGGCTAGATGGTTTGGCCGTGAAATTTTCATTGCTTTTCCGGAACATCAGAAAAACAATGGAAGTTTTACATACGTATAGTTGGACATCCCATACTCCCACTTTTCCATTAACATAGCTCTAGAGTTTACGGAAGCACTACACAAAATATTTCCTCTTTACTAATCGTAATACCAGCATATCTTCCATAAACAATGGTAACTAAGCATTGAAAAGTGACTTTGAGTTCAACTTATTTTGCTTTATTCGCATGATAATGTGAATAGTACCATGTGTTTTATAAAACTGCAGAAACCTCCGTGGTCTTTTGTTGCATTTTCACGAGACCTGCAACGGATCTCCCGTAAAATCGACCCGAAATAGACTAATTTTTACCCGAAGCTGGTAGCATGAGATTTTAACCTATCTGACACATTGAAATTGGATAAACTCACCCTAAGACATGGAAATTTGGGAATTGAATTTTTATTGGGATTCGAATCAGTAAAGTGATAAGGGGAAAAGATAGAAAAAACGAGATCTGGAGATAAGTAACATAAACAGGACAGGGAAAATGGCTGCAATTAAACTCAACTAGATTTCGTAATCGTGGCAGTCCACTTGGCAACCAATCAGAATGGAGCGGGGATTATCATATCCGCCATCTTTGGAAGCAATGACGGTCGGCTTTCTTCGTTCTGTTTTTCTCCGCTGTTTCTTTTGTGTAGCTGCTTACTTTAATGTTTCGATGTGCTGGAATTCCGCATTCAATGTAATACTCTATGTATTCAGTTTCAGTTTGGAAGGGACATGAGGCTTGATGGCCTCTGTCATTCATGGCAATGATAGTATCCCAGTTGGTCCAACTTTCTTTTGAAAGAGTCGACGGATGGAGCCTCAACTACGTGCTGAAGTAATGAATTCCACTCGTTGATGATTCGATGGAAACGTTGACAGTCAGCTGACAAGTAATTTGTTCTGGGCTTATGAAGATTTTTGGAGTGTCCTCGTAAATCCTCTGTTTTGGAAGACAAAAAATGAGGGCATATCAGGTACAAATTCATCACTAAGTAATTTGACAGCTGTAATCAAGTCCCCTCTAGTTCTTCGATAAGACACGGGGAATAGGCTTAGCTTAGACCATAGAGCGTCATACGGGGACCTCGCTATTCCGGAAATAATCTGAGTTGCACTTCATTGAACCCTTTCCAAAAGCTCACTGTCCATTTTTAGGCGGATGCTAGCCGCTTGTATGTAGTACTCAAGTTCAGGACCCATGAATGCTGTATACAAAGTCAAAAAACGTTTTGGCATCAACATGACTGAAGGCCCTACGTATTGACCATGGGGTTGTAGCGGTAAATAAATCCCCAAAATAAATAGCTCTGTAAGTTTTCGACATTGGATGCTGATCAGATTAGTTTTGGTGGACTCACCTAGCTGAAGGCGCTCGGTCATGCATCCGTACCAGATCATGTGTGGGAACGCCGTGCTCAACATCTACTGCAATCGCTAGCCAGACTAGATCAGACAATTCCGATATATTGGCAATCGTCGAATACAACTTATGATCTCCTCGATTCTGTCTTTTGATTTCTCTTGGTGGGTATGAGTTATAAGCGAAGGTGTTACTGGTAAAAGCGTTGTCAAACACTGAATACCTGTGCCATCTTCAGGGTTCTAAAGCCTTTGACGGCTATTGCACGGCAGTGTGCAGGGATCTTTAAGTCTTGGCTAACAACTACTTTTAAGTCATTGTGTGTCTGGACAACAGGTAGCTGAGTGTTATTCATCGTGTATGTATCTATACCTTCATGACCGATATGCATCACAACAAACTTGGAAGTATTTATCGGCAACTGCCATGTTTGAGACCACCCAGATTATTTCTCCAGGTCATTTTGGAGTTATAAGCTATCACCCTTACTTCGTATCGCTCTCCACATCTTGACATCGTCAGCCTATAGCAAGACAGATGATGATAGTAGACGATGAAGGTCATTTACTTACAACATGAATAACACTGACCCCAAAACTGTACCCTGAGGCACTCTGCTAAGCACAGTTTCCTAGTTAGACAACTTGGAGTTCACTCGTACTCTTTGCTGGCGCTCAACTAGGAAGTATTTTACCCACATCAAGACTGCTTGAAACCTCGACACTTCTTAACTTATATAACAGCCGGTTGTTCGGAACTTTGTCAAAAGCTTTGCTGAAGCCAAAGTAGGCCACGTCTACATGTAACTGTTGGTCCTTAAGAGCGCACCAGGTTTCACATGCCACTGCTAAGTTGGTGAGACAGGAATGACCTATTCTATAGCCATCCTGCTCTTCCGAAATCATCCCGTTTTCATCGAGGTACGTAAACAACTGCTTCTGAAAAATCTTTTCTAAAATCTTGAAATCTACACTGATTAGGCTAACGGGTCGGTAGTTCTCAGGTTTATGTTTCGTACCTGTTTCGAAGACAGGACTTACTATGGCGTTCTTCCAGTCCTTTGGTAAACGACACTGAGTTACGGATAGATCAAAACACAAACTTAAGGGATTCGCAAAGAAGTTGGCCATTTCTTTTGATAACCTATGATGCAGTTCATAGAGCCCCGTAGATTTGCCCATGTCCAACTTATTTACTAGATCAAAGGCATCGAGTTATTTTATGGCCACGCTGTTCAGTGATGGTGTGGGGGATTTGTATGGACTGACGAGAAGGGTGTTTCTTTGGTATATACATTGCTGAAGTAGTTTTGGAATACTTGGGCTTTGCCAAACTCGTCCTCCACTAATGATAAAGCAGTACTGTCTTCCCATAGTGCTGGAATATTGCTCCTACATTTGTCCTTTGGTTTATATACGAATACAAGCGTTTAGGACATTCTATGGAGTCCTTGACAATTTTCACTTCGTGCGACCTTCTAGAGTTACGTAGGTCCGAGGCACAAGTATTTCGAGCTTCTAGATATTGACATTTTGTCTCATCAGTCCTCAGTAACCTAAATCTGTCCCACATTTTTCTTCTCTGATGGAGAAGGATGCGAATCTTCCTACTGAACCACGGTAGGGTGTTTCTCGTACCCCTTCGTGTAGTCCAAGCCATGCGGGTTGAAGTAAATTTCTTAGTACGTCCCGAGTTGTTTCAATTGAGGACTGTGGCTCTATTGTCTACCGACAATGTTGAGTGCAAATTTTCTTTGGATCAGCTTTGTTTTCTCTGATTTTGTGGCTTCCACCGAAGTCAATGTATTCCTTCAGGCAGGCTCGCTTGTCTTATGGCACAGAATAAATGACTTTCTGTTGATCCACCTACTTACTTAGGTCAAAAGAAAGTCATGAATTGTTATGAGGAATTAGGATTGAGAGGTATGGTTAGTAGTTAAGGTTGCGAGTTAGAGTAGTGTTTTTCATTGTGACATTACTATCGCTTTAATGCCGAAAGCCAACTTAACTATGTTATTATAATTTTATTTGTGCATGAACACTATTTTTACAGGCATGTTCTGTAAAGTACAACATTTGTTTTCGATCAGCTTGCTTCCCAACTTATTAAGGTTATAGTTGCTATAAAGTAGACTCGTAGAGCGCTTTCTGTAAACCATGACCTTTATGAGACGTATACATTAAGTTTGTTCCAGACGTCAGGAGTTCCATAGCTGTGCCCTTAGAGCAAGATTCTAAAGAAAAAAAGGGAAACAGAAGAGCAGCAAGGCACTTGGATATGAATGCTAAACGTTGCTTAACATTTTGTAGTAGAACAGACAGAAGTATAATAAATTAGATTAAATTCATATTATCTCTTGCTGGAGTGAAATGAAGTCAGAGGTTCCATACAAGCGAATGTAGTAATAAAGAATAATGAGTTGTGATATTTAACAAGTTGGTGTAAGCTCACATGAAGGAAGGGAAGTCAAGGTTGGTACAAGGAAAGCTGTTTGTTAGAAGGGGTGTGCGTATAGAGGGTGAAGTATTAAGAATACCAATGACTATATCTTTTATTGTCTAAATTTTTCTTGCTTTTCCTTTTTCGTCCATCCGATGCCAGCCACACAATCCTAGTGTAAAAGTCCGAGTTAGTATGTTACAGGTTGTCTTAGTAGAATAGCTAATTCAGCATAAATTTGGAAGCACGAGTCTGAGTGGCGAGCGTAGGAGGACAATCCATATCACAGATTGATTGACTTATTCTCAATCATAAAGAGCTTGATACATACAAAATGTCCTGCCCCACAAACATGGGTGGATTGAAGTCATCGCCCTCACCATCAATGCTTCCTGGTCAGTAACTCCACCCTCCCTCCTTTTGTGATGTTAGGCTCATTTAAGCTTATTTTTGGATATATGTCATATCTCTCACAATCCTATGTGTCTCACATCTTGTTGTAAAACACTACTTCTATAAGTACCATTTTACAAGCTTATCAGGTAGTTACAAGTTATGAACAATGGATAAGGCATCGATGTAGTGCTTCTGTTGACTATAGTATAAAGTATAGTTTATCAATCAGAGTATAAGCATTAAGAAGGGTATAATGTAGGATAGTTGTTTATTAAATCAGGCGGAGGAGTACACAAGTATACGAGTTGTAGATAAGTTAACAAGTGGAGAAATAATATTAATTGCTAGTCAACATAATGTACAGAAGAGTAAAAAGTTCATAAAGAATTAACAGGAAGAAACTCACATTAACTTGGTGCTGATGTTATTTTGTGTTGTCATAAACAGTTGATGGGTAACAGGCTCCATAGATGCAAGACCACTGGTAGTAGGCAATCGACTGTGCGGTTCTCTTGACCTTTTAGGGTGATGATGAGTGTCCCTTAGCGACCGAGTTTAGCTGAACAGTATCGATAGGTCCGGTGAGTTACCTGTCAACTACAAGTGAAGAAATAGGGTGGAAAATGTAACTAATACAACTGAAAAGTAGGAAAAATAAGGCAAACTGAACTTCAAGTCCATTTTGGTCTAGACTCGAAGAGAGTCTATGATGTCTGAGTGGGGCGCAGATCTGTCCTTACGTGCTAGATCAGTGCGAGTCAGGGCTTAATCAAACAGTTTTACAAACGTATGTAATTCGTCTGCTATGCGTATTTCGGAGGGAAGACTGTTCCATATTATTGCATACTCGGTGAGGAAGAAGTTTTCACGAGTTTTTGATCTGTATTTCTCAACTTTGACGGTAGATACTTTGTTTCGAAGTTCATATTCATGCGAATCTTGGGCAAGAATTATCTTACATTTTGAGTAGGGCTTTTGAGTAGTTTGAAGTACAGAATCAAACTAGACCTAAGCCTTCTCTCCCTGAGGGGTGCTATTCTTAAGATTTGGCATCGGGAACTGTAGTCAATGACCGAGTCAGTCTTAAGTACTTTGCGGGTGAAGTCTCGTTGTATTCCTTCCACCTTTAGTATATCAGATAGGCGTAGGTTGGAAAATAAGAACGAGCAGTATTCAACGATAGGTCTTACACAAACTTTGTAAAGAAGGATTTTAGATTCATTTTGATAGAAATTACGAAGAATGAAGCCAAGCAATTTCCGCATTTTGGATGCTTTGGCTGAGATGTGTTCAGAGAAATTAAGACTGTGTGAATAATGTACCCCTAGGTCAGTTACTGATGCCAGTCTGGGGAGTGTGTGATCGCTAATTGTTAGTTTCATTTTAAGAGACGTGTCTCCTATACATAACCACCCG